TCCTCCTGCCGCGGCTCCTCCGGCAGCTTACCCCTGCAGCCCGGGGGGGGGGCGCCTCCTCCTGCAGCTCCTCCTCGCCGGGCGCGGCGGCCCGCGCCCGCGGGCTCCCGCGGCCGCCCGCCGGCGCGGCGGGCTCCTCGCCCGCGGGCTCGCCGCCGCCGCGTCGGCGGCCTTTCGGCGGCCTTTCGGCGGCCTTTCGGCGGCCTTTCGGCGGCTTTTCGGCGGCCTTTCGGCGGCCTTTCGGCGACTTTTCGGCGGCCCTCGGGCGGCCCTCGGCGGAGGTCGCGGTCGTCGCAGCCGGCCGTCGCTGTCGTCGCCGTCGCCGTCGGGGGCGGGAGTGGGAGGGAGCGGGAGGGAGGGAGGGAGGGAGAAAGGGAAGGACGGGAGGGTGGGCGGGCGAGCGATCGGCTGCTGAGAAGCAGTTGGAGTCGATCGGCCCGCAAATGCGGGGCGGATGATCACACAAGCCCCGAGACCCAGGGAGCCGGTCCTTGGAGGTCGGGGTCCGACGCCGTCCGCGCTACAAGTCTCGGCAACCTGAGCACAGGACCTGTGGGCACTGTGCGGCGGCGGCGGGCGCCTCAACCGCGCGGCGCAGAGGGTGCGGGGCCTGCGCCAGGCCCGTGCGCACCCCCGTGAGGCCGACCGACCCGACGAGGAAGGGGTCGCCAGGCCCAAACGCCACAACGACGGAGCTGAACCACAGCAGTTCCAAGGCCACGGCAAGGATGACCCAGTACACCTGGTCACACAAATCTTTGACATCAATGATATTCGTACAGTTTCCCACCGCACCAAGCAAAACAAGATGGGTGGAACCAACGCATAAGGAGCTCGAGGGCCAGCACAACTGCAACCCCAGAAACCCGGAAGAAACATACCTGCCGCAGCGACCGAACCAGCTCGAAACTCGATTTGGATGAGGACCAAACAACACAGCATCCCAAGCGTCGGCCGACACGAGGCATGGAGAATATCAGCACGAACGCCCTGATCCACGATAACAGAAGCAACACTCGAGCTGCCGCGGATGCCCACTTCATTCAGACACTTCATCCTGCTTGCATGCCTCGTCGTCCTGGTCGGTTCTGCCCATCTCGATGGGCCTCTGCGTAGGTCAGGCCGTAGGCGCCCAGGATCCTCGCCGAATCCAAGAGTCCACCGCGCGCGACCTCTGGCGCCAACACCTTGGGTCGAGAGGTTTTCGCACCGATTGGCACCACAAATGGTATCCTTGGCAGAATCACTCGGTGACCTCGGCGGCTGCAGACGCACGCGTTTGCTTGGAATTCGAGGGCGCCTCAGGTAGTGGAAGACATGGTGTTTTCGGCAAGCCGAGCATAACCAGCCTTCCCAGCACACCATCGGCTGAGCCCCGACGACGCTCTGATTCCGCGCCGGAAGACTGGCAGCACGCGGTGCAACACGAGAGAACGCGATGCGAGTCGAAAGCGAACTTCTGCCACCCCCACCCCCCCTCTGAAAACCCTGCAGACCCTCAGCTGGCCCCAATGAGCTCCCGCTATGAGGCCTTTGAAAGGCCTGAGAGCCCCGGCGGCAAACAGACCCTTCTTTGAGCGCAACACCTCGTTCATCGTGGGCGGCGATACGGACCCTCCTCTGTGTTCGCTATCGCCTGCAAGCTCGTGGATTGCCTCTCTGTCGATGCGCCTTCTGACCCCGCGCTTGACCGAGTGACTCCACATCGCTGGGGGGGTCTCCCTGAGGCCCCAAACCTGCTCCCCAAGACAGGCCAATCCGATGATGGCTGCGGGGGAGGGCAGCAACTGTTCTGCTGCCCATCGACCATCGATGTGGGCCCATCAGAAATGGCCCGGAACCTGCAAGCAGCTTGTTCACAACGGTCCAGGTGACCGCGCCTGAAATCAGGAGGGCGCAAGAGACGCGGATCGCATCTGACGCGGCGATCACGAGCGGGCCCGGCTGCCAGCCGCACGCAGCGGCCACGAGGGGCCAGCCTGGCATCGAACCTCCCAGACCCCCGACGTCATGATTTTTTCATGACGTCGACCCCCCGAGGTCTCGACCCATTCCCCAGGACCGGTTTTTCGTCCTGCGTCGTTTTTTGACGCTCCCGAGGGCCGGTAAGGGCCCCCAAAGACCAAAAATACTGAAAAACCTTCCGTCGTGATTTTTTCACGACGCGAGGGGGTCTGGGCTGGCTTGCGCTTGCCGACCTGAAGGCGCGGCGCGCGAAGAACCCGATGATCCTCGAACTCGCGACTCTGCGGTCGCTGCGATCCCGGCGCGGCGCGGTCGGGGCCCCGGTTGCTCACCGAGCCCCAGGGCGGCTCTGATGCGCGGTCCCCACTGATGAGCCGCAGATCCTGGAAGCCTACGTTTGTCTCCTGCACCTCCCGCCGACTGCGCCCCCTCCTATGAAGGGGCCCCAGGACACACAAATAAATAGACACAAATAAAAATATCCCTTATATTTTCATGTATTTTCTGGGTTTCTGTCTTCCCCCCCACTTCCCATATTTTCCCATATTTTCGGGGGAATCGAAGATTAATTGTGTCTGTGTGTGTTTTTTCCCCTCCTGATCCTAGTTCCTCGCGGCAGAAGTCTGGAGCGCCCCGAGGCTGCAGAGGCGCAGCTGGAGAGATGACGTCGTCGAAAGGGGTTCCCATAGCTGCAGAGGGAGCCGCGCTTGCCCCGCGAGATCGGGAGCTCCTTGCCCCGCGTTCCCTGGATCAGCAGCAGCTTCAGCTCCTGCGCCGTTCGCGAGCGCACATGTTTCGGTATCGGGTTTTTGATGCGCACGAGAATGAAATTTGACGCCGATTTTTCTCAACGTCGCGATCGCCGCGAGTGTCGCGCCGGCCAATTTGCGCAATGACAGCCAGCGGTGATCGCGCCGTTGGCGTAGATCTCATCCGAGACCGACTGCCGGTAAGAGGCCCTCCTGGGCCCGCGATGCTGGGCGCGCGCGGGCCTCGGGAATGCTGAAGTGAAATTCCCGCCCCTGGCAGCGCATCAAAGCTCGCTGTGGCTTACCATCTCCGATAACCCACGGAGGCCTGCAAGCGCGCTGCATCTGGTGAAGCCTAACTGGAGAGCCAGCGCAGCCAGGACATTGCGAATCCAAGCCGATTCCTCACGCGACGGCTCAAAGGGGCCCCTGGGAAAATTGCCGGGCAGCTCGGGCCCCCGCCAGGCAACTCCCCGACGCCTGGTCCGAAACAGCACGCGAGCGAAAATCGGAAGCAGACGCATGAGCCTTTCCCCCCGTAGGGCTTGGAAAAAATATAATCATTCGCCGCAGATATGGTGGCTCTGGCTGATGCCCCCGAAATGTCGACGGGGCCCGCGTGCGACGCGCAGCGCTGGCATTGGCGGCCCCCCCGGTCGGGGGCGGCGGGCATTTGGGCGCGAATCCGGAACGAAGCGAGCCCGCGCATCGCAGGCCGGCGCCGCATGGCCTCAATGGCTTTGCGTCTGACACTTTTCCCTGGGCGCGCGAAGTGGGAACTTTTCCCAATTGGCGCCCATTGCCGCGGCCGCGGGAACGCGGTCGGCCGCGCGCCGATACCGCGGCGCAGAAGCAGAAATATATCAGCTGAATCAGGCCTTATGCGCGCCGAGCAGCCCACCGACCCCCCCTTCGCCAACTCGCCGCCTGCCCCGCCTGCGAGGTTCCACCCGAGAAAAGACTGCGTCGTCGACCACGCATTGCAATCGTACGAAGCGGTTCTGAAATCCGAATTGGTTGCCAGAGTCTGCATGGGCTGCCGATCTCCACCCTAGCTTAGGTTAGCCAAAGAATCGCCAGCAGCTCGTGGAATCAGATCGCAAGTGGGATCACCACCTGAAGCGCCTGCGATGCTGCCCGTCACTGGGAGGCAATCGCCGGCACAGGCTTCCTCTTCCTCTGCGCAGTCGCTCAGGTTGAAGATAGAATAAACTGGACATAGCAGACCACCTTACGGAGCTAGGGCCAACTCGGTGACCCTGTCTCCATGAAATACTTGCTGTGCTGGGCCCCCTCAGACTGCCATGCCTGAGCCTGCCTGCGAAAGCAATCATTGGGGCGACCACCGGAAACGATACCGAGAAGATGCCCACGACTTCGCCTTCGCCAGCACCTCGTTCTCGGATGCATGCTCATTGATGAACTCCTTGATGATTTCGCGCACATGACCGACCTCTTCTGTCTCTGGCTGCCAGAAATGCTGCTCCGTTTGCGTGGAGGTGGCCTTCTTGGCTGCCGTGGCGGGGACTGCCCCAGCCGCCTCGCGCCCACGCTTGAGGTCTTGGTGAAGCGCCTTCGCCGGCGCTGTAGAGTCCGTGACGCCATCCATCGCCAGCATGCTCGCAAGCTCACCCAGCCCCATATCAGCTAGCATGGGGATGGCCTGGCCGTCTCCTGAAGCGGCTTGACCTCCGGCCCCTCCTCTTGTGCCAAAGGTGCGGGTATCCTTCTCCCGAGACTCTTCAGCTTGTCCGGCTGCCGCCGTGGCCGCTGTGACATGAGCTCGCGCCGGGGCCAGCTGAGACTCCGTCTTCTGCTTTTTGATCGTGGCCTGCTCGGCTCTCGTGGAAAGCGCCTGCAATTTTGCAGGCAACGGTTTCGTGTCGTAGACCTGTTTGCGTTTCTCCTCGGTCTGGGGTCTTGACACACGTGGCCTGGTCCTTAGACCACGTAGCGGACATCGGCGTGAGAGACTCTGAATCCCCTTCTTGAGCTCATCGTCATCGCTGGGGGCGTCCACGACGACATCTTGAGACCCACGTTGCTTGAGCTATTTGTTCTCCTCCTTCCTCCAACTTGCGCAGCTTCGAGGCCAGCTGCTGAAGATCCTTGGTGTCGGAGTTGGCGAACCTGCCATGCTTCGACGGCTGGTTGAGGGGCCGATTGTATTTGGAGGCCGTGCTCTTGTAGATGTGGCATTTGAAGAAGCACCTGTCGTTCGAGCCCTGATTGGTTGCACATCCAATCGGATTTCTGAACAGCCTGCCATGGAGCTTTGGGCGCCATGGCTGCGAAGACTGGTGGCGAAAAGGGGATCTGACTGCATCGCTGGCTGCACGATGCGACTCTCCTGACAAGACACTCAAAGACTGCCGCGGACCAGCGGTGGACGTTCTCTGCCCAGGGGACAATAGCATCTTGAGCCAAAACGGCGACTTACGGTGGGAGGGGAGGACGAGAAGGAGGGAGGGAGGGAGAGAGGGAGGGACGGATGTGGAGGAGGAAGCGGAGGAGGAAGAGGAGGAGGAAGAGGAGGAACAGGAGGACGAGGAAAAGGATGATTGTAGTGTTGCGCTGTTGCCCTTGAGGGTAGGCATGACCCTGTAAAGTCGGATGGGGCTCACCCACACTTGGAACAGTGCCCCAAGGTACAAGGACCGTTGCAGGCACGTGGTATGAGTGTAACATACCACTAGTCACTAGTCGGCCACCTCCGTTGTGATATATGCTGATCCTTTCTCAGCTTGTGCACCAAAGGAGGAGGAGGCGGAGGAGGACGAGGAGGAGGAGGAGGAGGAGGAGGAGGAGGAGGAGCAGGAGGAAGGGGAGGAGGAGGAGGAGGAGGAGGAGGAGGAGGAGGAGGCGCGATGGATGGAATAATAGGAGGGGAAGCGAGCGAGGAAGACGGAAGGGGAAGGGGACCAAGGGAGAGGCTGAACGAGCAGAGAGGAGGTCAGGAGGAGGGGCGAGGGGAAAAGGAACTCTCCCCTCCCCCTCCTTCCTGCTTCCCTGCCTCCTCCTCTTCCGCCCCCTTCCACTTTTTCCCGCTCCCTCTCCGCTACCTCATCCCTCGTCCCACTCCACCTCGGTGGTCCAGAGATGGGGTCCTGAGGGGTGGGGCCCTAATGATAAGACGGGCAGGGATCAAAGGGTGGCCTTGCATTGCTTGAGGCACCTCGTCCTGGGGACCCCATCCCCCAGGTAGGTCCCCAGGCCCCCCGCACACTCGGTGGTTCACAGATGGAGTCCTGATTGGGTGGGGCCCTAAGCATAGGACGGGAAGGGATCAACGGGTGGATTTGCACTGCTTGAGGCACCTCGTCCTGGGGACCCCATCCCCCAGGTAGGTCCCCAGGCCCCCCGCACACTCGGTGGTCCAAAGATGGGGTTCTGAGGGGTGGGGCCCTAAGGATAGGACGGGAAGGGACCAAAAGGTGGATTTGCATTGCTCGAGGCACCTCGTCCTGGGGACCCCATCCCCCAGGTAGGTCCCCAGGCCCCCCGCACACTCGGTGGTCCAAAGATGGGGTCCTGAGGGGTGGGGCCTTAAGGATAGGACGGGAAGGGATCAAAGGATGGACTTGCATTGCTTGAGGCTCCTCGTCCTGAGGACCCCTTAGTGGGGGCCAACTGGGTCATCCAGAAGGTGGGTCGTCGAGAGGGTGCATGGAACGGCGTTCGGGGAGGGGTTCCCACGATTTCTGGAACGCCGTTCCGCCCAGCGTTCGGAGTTCGTTCGCCTCGAGTCGCGGCCAACGTTCGCGTCGACACGGGGCCACCTCCCAAACCCCCGACGTCATGATTTTTTCATGACGTCGACCCCCCGAGGTCTCGACCCATTCCCCGGGACCGGTTTTTCGTCCTGAGTCGTTTTTTGACGGTCCCGAGGGCCGGTAAGGGCCCCCGGAGGCCAAAAATGGTGAAAAACCTCCCGTCGTGATTTTTTCATAGCTCGAGGGGGTCTGGGCTCGAAGCGGGATCAGGCCTGAGGAGCCCATCCCCCAGGTAGGCCCCCAGGCCCCCCCCCTGCACACATGCCCCGAGGGGCGGACGCGGGCCCGGCGCGCCGGGCGCGGCCTCCTCTGGAGGGCCGGGCGTCTCCGCCAGCGGCCCGAGCCGCTCGGCGGCGAAGGCGCGCGTCTGGGCCTCGTCCAGGGGCGGGCGGAGGAGGAAAGGCGAGGACGGGGGGGGATCTTCCTCCTCCTCCTCCTCCTCCTCCTCCTCCTCCTCCTTCTCGTCTTTCTCCTCATCCTCCTCCTCCTGCTCCTCCTCCATCCCCCTCCTCATGAACAACGCTTCCCTGTCGCACCCCGAGGCCACTCGGAAGGGCGGGCCGGGCGTTTCGCCTGAGATTTCCTTGCCATGTATGAGCCTCAAGATTGGGTCGCTTCCAAAATGTGGCATGTGGCTCTCGCCTGAGCGCCGCGCACATTCGCGCTATTTGTTGAACAAGTTCCACGGATTGAAAGCGGCTGCTTTCCAAAATGTGGCTCTCGCCTGGGCGCCGCGCGCATTCGCTGTAAAAAATGCAACAGATTCATGGAATAGGGCGGTTCCTTTTCAACATATTGCTCTTGCCTCAGCGCCGCGCACATCCCTTTTTTAAGTGCAAGGGTTTCACCGATTGTCATGGTCAGCGAACCAGGCATCAAAAAACGTGTTGGAGCAGAGCAGGGCTGTCAGGGCTCAAGAGTTACGTCAATTCGCAATGTTGAGCTCCTAGGAATGGTGTTCTGGCGCGATTCAGGATTGCCAAAACGCAACAATCAAGTTGACTCGTGGCGTTCAAGTCATGATAACGGTTTTTGGCACTCTTCAGGATCTTCACACGGTTGCTTCACGACGGAGCCCTTGTGGAAACGAACAGTTGTAGGTGCCTATGAAGAGGGAGCTTGGAGGCAGGGTAGATTCCAACATCGTTGATGAATATTGGGTCTACACTGATCTTCCTCATCCTCCACCTCCAGCCCCTCCTCCGTCTTCTCCTCCTCCTCATCATCATCATAATCGTCATCATCTTTATCATTTTAACATCATCATACTCGTCATCATTATCAGCAGCATCATCATCGTCATCATCATCATCATCAGCAGCAGCATGAGCATCAGCATCAGCAGCAGCATCATCAGCACCATCATAATCATCGTCATCGTAATCATCATCATAATAATCATCATCATCAGCATCATCATCAGCATCATCACCATCATCATCACCATCATCATCACCATCGTCATCATCATCATCACCATCATCACCATCATCATCATCATCATCATCATCATCATCATCATCATCATCATCATCATCATCATCATCATCATCATCATCATCATCATCATCATCATCAGTATCATTCGTCTTCCCCTTCTGCTGCTGCTCCTATCTGCTCCACCTTGATCATCCTCCTCCTCCTCCTCCTCCTCCTCCTGATCCTCCTCCTCCTCCTCCTCCTCCTCCTCCTCCTCCTCCTCCTCCTCCTCCTCCCCCATCTCCATCCTGCTCCTCCCTCCTGGCGCAGGACGGAGTAGGGGAGGGGGGAGGAGGAGGAGGAGGAGGAGGAGGAGGAGGAGGAGGAGGAGGAGGAGGAGGAGGAGGAGGAGGAGGAGGAGGAGGAGGCGCAGGAAGGCGCACAGGCGATTCCACCGTCGCAATGGACGCTCGGGGTGGGTGGGCGGGCGCCCGGCACGCCGTGTGCCCGGAGGATCCGAAGCCTCCCGAGCGGAGGCTCGGCTCCGATCCTGGGCGCATGCTCCCTCTGCTCCTGAAGGCGTTTTCTTCCTCCAAGGCAAGGGCTCGGCCTCCGCTCTGGAGGTGCTGTGCGTCGGTGGAAGGGAGAAAACAAGCCCCCCCCCCCTCGACCCGCAATTCAAAAATGGCACGGATACGAACTGCCGCTCGGACACTCAACCTCGGAGGATCCGAAGCCAACGTGTTGCTGCATTCGGGGGAGAGGGAAGGAAGCTCAAACCACATGTTACGCGTGAATGCTGCTTGATTATTTCCGACACATGTTCCTCCATGTGTGCAATTCCGCAAGCCCTGAGCCAAACAACGTTTTCATCTCTTGGGGGCGCACTGATTTACTTCCGCCGCCTTCCGCCGAGCTTCCGCCGGCTTCCGCCGGCGGAGGCGGCCTCGTTTTACTTCCGCCGACCTTCCGCCGCCCTTCCGCCGAGGAAGAGGTGGCAACCCCTTCGATCCTCGAAGGCAAGGCCCATTTTGGCATGCCTCATGTCCCAGAGCACCTTCTCGGGGGTGGGCAGACACCTTCTCAGCACCGCACCCCTTCCATGAGAACGGCCCGGGGCCAAACCCCGCGGGCGCAGGCCCGCAGAAACTGCGGCCGCCACGCCCCCTCGAGCACCAGAAGCGAGCCATCCGCTGATCGGCTTGGCGGGTGGGGGCCCTGTCAACCTGCGATCCAACGCGCGGTCCCCAGAAGTCCCGACCCTTCCCCCAAGTCGCTTCTTAACGGTCCCAGGGCCCAGCGAGGGCCCCCAGAGGCCGAACATGGCCAACAACCTCCCGTCGTGCTAGAGGGCGTGCTCTTTCTTCTCACGACGCGAAAAACGTCTGGGGAGTGGGGAGGCCCCTCCTCCGAGATAGGAGCTTCAGGTGTCGGAACACTCACGCGCAACCTATGGTTCGAACTCCTGGCCCCTCCCCTCGAATGCGATGTTGTTCTCGGATCTTCCGAGTCTCCATGTCCGAGTAGCGATGCGTAACCGTGCCGACTCTGAATTGCGGGGGCAGGGGGAGGGCTTGCTCTCTTCGCTTGGTTCCTCGACCGTTCCGACACCTTGCCATCGCTCCGTTTCCCGTGCACTTTTTCGGTTTCGTGCATGTTTTTTTTGCTCGAGGGTCCAGGATGGTCCTCGATGGTTCTCGCCGAGAAAAGATGCACACGTCCGAGCGATGCCGAGACACTCTCTGGGTGGGGGGGGGAGGAGGAGGAGGAGGAGGAGGAGGAGGAGGAGGAGGAGGAGGAGAGGAGGAGGAGGAGGAGGAGCAGGAGGAGGAGGAGCAGGGGAGGAGGAGGGAGGAGGAGGAGGAGGAGGAGGAGGAGGGAGGAGGAGGAGGAGGAGGAGGAGGGGAGGAGGAAGAGGAGGAGGAGCAGGGGAGGAGCAGGGAGGAGGAGGAGGAGGAGGAGGAGGAGGAGGAGGGAGGGGGGGGGGGGGGGGGGCAGGGGCCGGGCCGCCGGCGAGGGAGGCGCCAGGCGGGCAGCCGCCTCCGAGTCGGGGAGCCTTTGTCGGGTCGAGGTGGGGGCTCGACCCCGCGGACAGGTCCCGGCGGGAAGCCTTGGGGCCATGTTCGGCCCTCTGGGGGGCCGAGAATTCCCTTCCCTTCTCCTTCGGGGGGGGAAGACAGAGACCAGAGAAATAGGGACAATTTGGGGGGTCCAGTCATTCGTGTGTACTGATTTGAGTGTCCCAGGGCACCTTCGTCCTCGGGGGGCCAGATGCGAACCCTACCCCTACCCCCCACGATTTGAGGGGGAGGGTGGGGTTCACTTCGTTCGGGAGCTCCCGAGCGAAGTGAACCCCACCCTCCTCCTCAGGAATCGTGGGGGGTAGGGGTAGGGTTCGCATCTGGCCCCCCATTGGCCCGCCCAGACAGGTGCTCCTGTGGAGCCCCAGGGGGAACCCAGCTGCAGAAGAGAAGTCCAAAGCATCTGTTCTCGATCTCGGCGGTGGTGGTCATAGGAAGCGCTGGGACCTCTGGGGGGGCCCTCGCCGGGCCACGGGGCCCTCCTCAAGAAGCGACTCGAGGGAGGAAGAGCCGGCCCTGCGGAATGGGTCAGGACCACCGGGGACCCGCGGCTCCGGCAGAATACTGTCCCCGCGACACGTGACAGCGAAACTATTAACTTTTTCCGAGCGGTTCGCTGTCGATTTCGCTTTCTTAACTATTAACTTGTTCGGGGGAGCTTCGCTTTCGCTCGGTGCGGGCTCGTCGTCTTTCGCAACTAACTTGTCGGGCCCGAAGCTCGCCGTCTTCTGAGTTTCGCTTTCACGTGTCGCGAGGACAGTACGAAAGGAAAAGGAAAAGCAACCGAGCGCTGCCTGCGTTCTTCGCGGCCCGCCCGGGACCTGCAGGAGCGTCCCTGGTAATGGTTGTCATCGGGTGGGCGACCTTGGCGGCGTGGTCCAGCCGCGCCGCCCCTGTCGTCGCCCATGTACCTGCCTACGCGTGCTGACACGATCGAGGCGTCGCATGGAAATGCATGGGTACTGTGCGTCGGGTCGGGCCTGCGAGGAAACGGTGGAGGCGGGCCGGCTCAGGGGGGAACCCATCGAGCTGGAATCGGCGATACGCCGCCGATGGGTCGGCGATGGGCCCCCGACAGCGAGGCCGCATGCTCCTGGGCGGGGTGGGCCATCAGGCCCTTCTCGGCGACTGACAATCGGCTACACGCAAGAGTGACCCTGGGTAAGAGTGACCTTTGGTGCGCGGCTTTCTTGGGGCCGCGGGGAGGCCAAACCTGGGCGCGCAAGCCCCTGCTACCGCTTCGTTTTCGGCCATCTGGGGGCCCATCTGTGCCCGCACCAAAGGTCACTCCGGCGAAAGGTCACTCTTACGTCTAGTCGAGACAAGGCGCTCGGGGGCCGACGCGCTCCTCCCTGGGCCTGCTGCTGCCCCTGCAGGCTGCCACCGGCACGTGGGTCAGCTCTCGGAGCGGAGCGGCCGCGCCGGAGGTGCGCGGCAGCTCCGCGCAGGCATCGGGCGGCACCAGATCGTCGGAGCATCCTGCTCCTCCTCCTCCTCCTCCTCCTCCTCCTCCTCCTCCTCCTCCTCCTCCTCCTCCTCCTCTTCCCCCCTCCCCCTCCTCCTCCCCTCCTCCTCCTCCCTCCTCCTCTCCTCTCCTCCTTCCATCCTCCTCCTCCCTCCTCCTCCCCCTCCTCCTCCTCCTCCTCCTTCACTCCTCCTCCTCCTCCTCCTCCTCCTCCTCCTCCTCCTCCTCCTCCTCCTCCTCCTCCTCCTCCTCCTCCTCCTCTCCAATCGTCGGAGCATCGGGACGTGGAATCAGGGACACGGGTCCCGAGGGAAACGGGGCCTGGGCTTCCGCCAAAAGACCAGCGCTTCCTCCCCCAGGCCCCCAGCCTCGGCGACGGCTCGCCAGGGGGTCCACCTCGGTGTCCGC